TTATTAAAGAATTGTATCATATGGACTATTTTATCTTCTAACTAAGGATTACACCCTACAAATGACTAGAATTAATTTGGGGATAAATGCAATAATTAATTTCATTGAAAATTATCTAATAGCATAGGATCAAAAACTCTAATCATATCTTCATAATACAAATCACTAGAATTTGGAATGTTAATTATTTAAAATATCTTCACTAATAAAATTTTTATTGAATTGGTATCTAGTACCCACTAAGTTATCAATCTTGATTTACAATAGTATAAACCTTTATAATGTGCAAAAAAAAAAAATCTTTAAAACATCTTAGTTTTATTGGTTAATTTATATTAATATTTTGTAATAATGATTTTGTTTGAAACTAAAATCTATGAATAATCACATAAAATTTAGGTAATTTTTATAAACTTAAGGCATATGATTTTTGTTTTTATAATAAAAGTCTTAGTCTCCTTTTGTATGTTATAACTCTAGCAAAATCCATCTTCTTCAATGTTTTTAGGTTAAAGATGCAATTTGATATTTTGATTTTCTTCTTTTATAATTTTGCAATTGGCCCCCCCCTAAGATAAATTCCTAGTTTCGCCACTGGGTGGCATTTTGAGCTTTGGATTTTTCAACTAATGATAAGAAGAAGATGAAGCAAAAGTTAACAGCAGCTAACACAGAAGCAGAAGAAAGTCCGTTCATTCTCCAAGTCTACCCAGCACAGTAGCCTTGAGAACAATATGGAAATAGTCTTCCGATTCTTCCCCAAATAAATTGGCATTGACACCAATGGGGCAGGGTTATGGCCTTAAGTTTATGGTCACTGCCCATAGGGATGGCAACGGGTCCCCACGGGAGCGGGGACCCCCTCCCCATCTCTATCCCCATTCTAGTCAATGATGGCTACGGGGAGGATCCCCATAGGGATTTTTGGCGGAGGATAAAAAATAGCCTCCATCCCCATACCCGCAAAGAATGATAGGTCCCCGTACGCATTCAGAGTCCCCACCAAATAAAACTCGATGCTCGTTTCTTGTTTAAGAAATTAACTGAAGATAAAAGGAATTAAGAGCTTGAATGAGCCTCAAAATAACAACACGACTATCGTTCACTACAAATGTGAGAAAGAAGCTACGTAGGCATGTAAACAACGAAAATCTCATTCTAACAATCTTGTGAACAATTGGAGGGAAAATGAAATTGGAAATAATAAGGCCAAAAGAATGAGATCTGCTTCACCTCAAAGTAAATCATCAAGCACAGATACTCAGATACTTACATATACTCACAACTCAGGCTCAAGCAAGTTGCAAGTAGCTGAATGAAGAATAAAAACAAAGTTATGGGCACTACCTTTCAAAGGTTGCCGACATTGATAGGTTGAAGAGAATTAACTGATTGAAGAACAAAAACAAAGCCAGTGAGCTACAGCACAGAGGAAAGGAGACTAAAATCTGGAGAGGAGGAATTGCAGAGCAGATTCACAAATCTCAGAAATTTGAAATAGTCATTCTAGTTCTAGGGTTACTAGCAAATTGGGTTGGGCTTGGGCAATTAAGTTAAGAAGATAATGCAAATTGGGTAGGGCTTGAACAATTAAGTTTAAGAAGATTATGGGATGGACTGGACTATATAATTGGGTTTGGAAAAACTGAAAAACAAAAAGGATTGGTCAATTAATTATGTTGAATAAGTAAAAATTAATTGTTAATATATTTAAAATTTATATAAATAAAAAAATTTTTATATGGACCTCCATGGTTCTCCATGAGACAGAGAAAATTCCCCACAAAATTTCATGAGGAAAAAAATGCATCCATCTCCGTCTCACGGGGAGGAATATTCTCGGAATCTCCATCCTCATGACGGGGATATTTGCGAAGCTCTGCGAGTCGCGGAGGAAATTGTTATCCCTAATCGCCCAGAATGTCAAGACAGTAAAATATTTATTAAAAATGTTAATTTTGTTTAATTTAATTGGTAAAAATAATT